CTCCCCTGTTCCCTGCCTGCAGAGGCAGCCAGGACGAGATGCCGGGGGGCTGCGCAGGCAGCACACGGTGATTTCCCGGCTCGGCAGCTGCTGCCTGCGAGGGAAGGGTAACGAATGGGGCCGGTTATTGCTCTGTTTTATCTGGGAAGGTGCTGACGGGTTGGTGGAGAAGCAGGGGGGACTTTGCTCCAGCCTTGACGCAGAAAAAAGCAGTGAGTCACCCCTTCCCAAGCCACCATCCCGCTTGTGCCGGTGCACGAGCCACTGGGTCCCACCGGGGCATTGCGGTTGTCCCGGCCGTGCCGTGCCGCGGGAACCGCAACGCCCCGGCGGTAGCCCCAGCCCCATCCATGGGGAAGGAAGCATCAATAGGGCTATTTTGGGATGCTGGCGGGGTGTTGTTATATTTAGGGGTGGTGGTTGGGACGAGGGGGGGAATAAGAAAGAAAACTCGAAACCAAACCAGTGCAAAAACCCCCCGTGGAGGCAGCAGAAAGGGTAGGAGGAAAAGGCGGCAGAGTTCGAGCCCAGTCCTCCCTCCCCGGGTACCCTGAGGAGGAGGATGGAGCTGGGAGGAAGGAGCCCAGGCATGGTGGGGGCAGCTGGGGAGGAGCGTGGCACCAGCGGCAGCACAGTGCAGCTCCAGGAGGCCTCCAGCATCGGGATGTGCCGAACCACGGCTCCCAGGATGGGCTGCGCCACTGGCGCCAGCCTGCCCCGTGCCGTGCAGACGGCGTCTCCCAGGGCCCACGGGCCTGATCCTGCTCCACACCCATGAGCCCTGACGGGACCCCACAAAAGCAGCATCCCCAGCCTGCTCCCACCCCCAAACCAGGGTCCCTGTCCTGCCCCATCAAACCAAGGGGCCCATCCTGCACCCTGCTAAACCCTGGGGAGCCCGTTGTGCCCGGGGAGGCCTCTCCTATGCACCCCCGAGCATCCCCTGCCCTCCCTCCCTGCATCCCCCCGCCCCAGCCGGCTGCTTGAATCCCCGGGGAAAGGTGCCCCCATCCCCTCCAAGGCACACGGGTGGGGGTCCCACTCACCAGCAGCACCCACTGCCTCCCCCCAGGCCCCAGTGGGAACAGGGCCAGGGGATGCTGGCGTGGCCGCGGTCCAGGTGGGAGCCGTGGCTGTGGTCCAGGCGGCCGCGTGGCCTTGGCCACTGGGCCACACGGCCGTGGGCAGCCGTCCGGCTCCGCTCAGCGCACACAGCCCACTGCTGCCATCTCGTGTCCTCAACAG